AGAGAGAGAGAGAGTAGTTTCTAAAACTTCTAAGGAGCAAGGGACCTGAACTGGATGTGTTTTAAGTTTGTGAATGGTATAGTTTTACATTGGGAAGTAGTGATTTTCTAGTGAAAAGGCGAGCCTAATAACACAGGGAAATGGCTAATGTGCGCATGTGTTATTTCCATGTGTGTGTGTGTGCGTGTTCTTTCTATGGATATTCTTATTAATTTGATCGTGACTATGTCTCTTATTATTATTATTATTTTATAATTCTACAATTTGTCATTTCTCAGCAAGCTTCTGAATCATTCAAATTTCTGTGTTTCAGACAGGAAAGTCAAAGCATTATGGTTACATTGAATTCCAATCTCCGGAGGTAATTAATTATGGTAGTTTCTTGGATACCCACATTGTTCTTTTGGTCGAAATCCATCTCATTTCTTTTTAAATATTCTGCAGGTTGCCAAAATTGTAGCAGATTGTATGCATAACTATTTACTTTATGAGCATATGCTGCAAGTTCATCTTGTTCCTCCAGAGAGAATTCTTCCAAAGCTGTAAGAAATTTTCTTTTATTGAATATTAGAGGAATTGAATCTATTAATTCCCATGCTTTGGTAGTGTGAAGATCGATACCTACTTCTAGAATGAGTTTTGAGCCGCAGGGGCAGTAACCAAATTCACTAAGAACTAATGTCATATTAGTAGGCATTTGTGGCCTCACATTGGCAGCCAGATTATTTCTCGTTTACTATTTAATTTTTCTAATTAGATTATTTTTCTATTAACTTTATAAGTTACAAAGTCAGGTCGTGTAAGGGGAAACTCCTGACTGTCCTTGATGCTGTCTACTATTGGACCCTAATTAGACAGCTAATTTGTTAATTGGTTTGCTTCTATATGCTTGTTGAGTATGCATTCATGAAACAGATCTTCTATATGCTTGTTGAGTAGGCATTCACGAAATAGACTTAGCTGAATTGGTTTTGGGTTTAGATTGGTGGAGAAGAGAAGATCCAAAATTTACGGTTTAGGGTTTTGGGTCAATGGAGAAGAGCAAATTCAAAATGTAGTGTTTAGGGTAACTTACTAACAGACTTTCATTGACTCCTTATTTACTTATAGATGGAAAGGGGCAAATTCAAAATTCAGACCAGTAAACCTGCAAGCGATTGAGCTCAAGCGGCATAACAAGGTTTGGTGCAGATTCATTTCAAGATTAAGACTCTTTCTTGCAAAGATATATCTTTTTCTCCCCTAATTGTTCTGTCATTCCCTACCAAAAACTCCTTATTTTCTTATCTTCACCCAATTACATGTACTTACTGTTATTGGTGAATATAGATACACGTACGCGTACATATATGAAACTTACTCTTGGTTGTAAATTCAGGAGAGGACAACTGGCGAGCACAAGCGATTGGTGCAGAGAATTCAAAGGAGAGAAAGAAAGCGGCAGAGGAAAATTAAGGCAGCCGGAATTGATTATGAGTGCCCAGATATCGTAAGTTAAATCTGCAATCATGCCCCTCTAGAATAGGCCAAAACTGTTCAGTTTTCATAGGAGCATCCAAATGATTTTGAAAGGGACAAAAGAAGAGAAAAAATGGAGGAAAAATGTACACCACACACCATCAACGATGGTTATGGTATATACTTTTTCCTGTATGCCAACCAGTTGCTGATGAACGGTGGGGATCATACCTGCCTGGGGGAATGTTCTAGTTGCCCCATGGTTTAATATCAACCTTCTATTGTCAGGAACTGATAGTAGATGCCCCTTTAGATTATCTCAGAACCATAGAGATTTTGGTGTATGGTATATACTTCCCTCAAAAGAAAATAAAAATGAAAAAATATGTACAGAAAACTCTCTAATTGCGTGGTATGGCTCTTGTTTGGCCTGGATTTTTTGTGTGCTCAACTATAGGTTTCTGTTTTGGTGATGCTGTAGTGATAGCTGTTTAGTGTACAGCCAGGGCCATGTACACCATTCATATAAATGGACGATATCGATGGGTCCAAAAGTCAAGTTTATAATGGCTGCTGCTTTCTCCATTTTCCTATTTTCTTCCATTTTCTCTCTCCAACATCTTTCCCTCTAAACCCACAACTATAGGCCATCCCTTTGCTTCATAAGATGCATTATCCTTACCCGTAGTCTGCAACCCGTTCCTGGATTTTCTCCATGCAACTTAGCAGGGTTGGGCCTTCTCTGGGGCGAGTTGAGCATGTTTCGGATTTTGATTCTCACATGTAAGAGTATGACAAGGAGCAAGGCCTATTTCTTTAGTATCATGGATAATTAGCGGGCTGCATGCTGTGGCGAAATGGTTTGATTAGATTTGCAATTAGAAGAGCCACTTAACCACCATAATGGTTCATATATTCTTCCTTGCACTGGTTTTCTGAGATTATAGTCCCCATTATCATTCTCTACATATTTTTGATTGGGAGGTGGCAATTAAGGGTATTGGAGGTTCTTTATCCTTTTTGCAAATTAACTACTTTGGTGTGGGATTAAATAGCAAGAAACCAGAGTTAAAGATGGCTAGACAAAAATTTGCAGAGAATTTTCATATTAGGTAATGGCTCCTGAACTGGAGCAGAAAAACTGATGAATTCGTTGATAGAGTAATAATCGTTTTGGAGATCCTTTTTTCATCTCATGTTCAATCTTGAGATCCGGAATAGGGTATCAGATTGAAACAGGGCTTGTTGTATCATGCATGATTGGATGGATGTGATGAGAAGTCGCTGAGCTTAAGGAGCCGTGATGCGATTTAGCTCTTTAGGGTTTAGAAGAAATAGGGCCGAGGTTGAATTACAAGAAAAGATCAGAGATCCCAGGGTAGAGAGAGGAAAGCTTTTGCAGAAGAGAGAGGCTTATTAGATGGTGAGGTGGGGAAAGAAAAATGAACTTTCCATGCTAGAGAACTTCATGAGAGAGAGAGAGAGAGAAAAAGAAAAAGAAAAAGAGCGTCATGAGCGTACTTGAGATTGAGAGAGAGAGAGAGAGTTGGTTCGAGTGGTCAGGTGGGGGTGCAGGAAATCGAGAGTGGGGTAAAGAGAAATTCCAGTAGCCATCATGCCAAGGTTGACTTTGTTCCATCATGTACACGTCCTATTAAGTTCATGGGCAGCATCCTTACGGGCACCTCTGTGGCACCCCCGAATTGAAATAAAAGAGAGGATGGAAGAAAATAGGGAGAATTGCATAATGGCATAGAAACGACTTTCAATTTATAGCTTTTGGCTTTAGGGTTTCCTGAATTACAAGTTTTCTTTGGAAAATCTTATATTACCACTTCTCTTACCACCTTAGGCATGTCCCAAATCGTATGATTGATAAAAATAGTATTTTGCACCGTGTTTCTCCTTGCACTCTTCATTTCCCCAAGGGACTCATTGTCTCTTGTCTCTCCATCGTTTTCTCTGTATTGTTTTCATTTGGTGGAAGTAAAATCCTAAATTTATCATCTTAAAATTTCATTTTTTTTCTTTGGAATAAAGCTGTGATTCAAAAGGTAGTATGCAAAAAGCTGTAAATTCAAGAAGCCATTCTCTCCCAAGAAAATATATTGGGTATTTGCACTTTTTTACTTGTGTTTCTGCTAACAAAAGGTGATCGGTGTCTGATTGTGTCGTCATATTTTACAGGTGGGTAACATCCAACCTGCGCCTAAGAAGATCAAGTTTGATGATGAAGATTAGAGCAGAGGTTCATTCTCCCGACAAGTCTCTTTCTCTGCTTTTTTGCCGGCTCATGTGCTTTTTAACTTGAGAAAAGCAGCTTCTGAGTTTAATTTTTATTCAAAAAAAAAAAGAAACAACTTCTTGAGTTAGGAAATCATAGGGTGAGGAAGCTGTATTTTGGGTATTTTTTCTCACAGTAGCTTGAGTCCTTTTCTGAAACCATATGATGTTTGGAGCAAATTTGTGTGACACTAGCTGATGGCTTTACGTCTTTTAGTGGTATTGAGCTCTTTACGTGGTCAAAAGTATAAACCAAATGAAGAGAGAGAGAGAGAGAGAGAGAGAGAGAGAGAGAGAGAGAGTAGTAGTAGGTGTAAGTTAGGTACTCTTGCTAGTTCGTAGGAAAGGAGTAAGTGTGTAGGAGAGAGAGTAGTGTAGTAGTAAGTAGGTACTCTTGCTACTCTGTT